GTATTTTGTTGTCGACACCTTTCATGTTTGCATCTAAGGAGTTCATATTGTTTTTCGCTTCTCTCATAAAAAAAAAAAAGTCTTCGAAAACGCATTGGGCAAGAGGCTGTTCTCCAAAGGAAAGTGGGAGAGGAATGCAGATATATGAAAATATATAAAACAAAGTATATAAAACGGAATATGCCATTAAATTGTATCCAATCGGAAATCTGGGATGCCTGCTTTCTAGCATGTTTTCCTAAACTCTGGTAAATGCCAGCCTACCTCTCTCCCTCTCTCTCTCGCCAAGAGAAAAACTCGAGGCAAAAAATATTACCTGTGCGATGGAAGCTTATCAGGTGAAATCTTCATCACGGCTACTACGTTACCCCTCTCATCATAGAGCACATCTTTAATACCTGGTGGCCGACCATACTGTGCCTGTGAGCAGATAACATACACAACAAAACTGACTTCTCTTCAATAGTCATTGTAACTTGCGAGACAGACGTCATTTTGTTTTTAGGGGAGGGGCGTTTTTTTCAGGCGAGGGAGAGTCAGTCTCTCTTCGTACTGACGTCACCAAGTCCACTGTAACAAGGACAAAGATGCAACAATGGATCTACTGTTCACGGCAACATGGCAAGGGAGGGGGGGGGAGTCAAAAGGCAGAAAGCAGGAAATTTGTTAGGGAAATAATTCATCCATCTCCACTGCTTTCTACAAAAGGGAAGGTGACTAGCGGCAGAGGTACAGGAGACAGGAGATCAGGTTATTTAAAACAAAAGGTCCTCTTCTTCCTGCCTCCCTTCCGGTGAATAGCCCATTTCCGAATTACCCTTGGCCTCATTATCAAAACGAGTCCTGATGCTCATCCTTTCATATGATTAAAAGTTTTCATTCACATGCAAATTAAACTCATTTTCAAAAGAATGGTTGAGCACCAGGCCTCGTTTTGAAAAAGAGGCCAAAAGTAATACGGAAATTGCCTATTGATGAGTTTTGTCATGAAGACTGCCTGTGTAGGATATCACATGTGCTACCCACTCTAAGGACCGAGAGAAAACCAGGCCTTGTTTTGAAAAAGAGGCCAAAAGTAACTCGGAAATTGCCTATTGATGAGTTTTGTCATGAAGACTGCCTG